AGACCACTGTAGCAGGAGTTGAAGGTGTGGCTTGGAAAGCACCCGGCCGCGTCCAGTAGAGGCTGGTTCGAGTATGGCGGCGTAACTTGAGGACTTCTGGAGACCAACGCAGTAGCTGGACTACAGGACGGACGGGGCATGCTGGAGTAGTTGCCGGAAGGCTCTTGCACCTACTCCATACCCAGACGCCCAAATAAGTTAACGAAGTACCCGAGACTAACCGACCTTCTCCTCCAAGACCGTACCTTTCCCGTTTAAATAATATATACCGTCTAAAAATCGAGTTCTGTAAACTTTCACGAAATATTTCTGTTCGTAATTCAATTTCACCGTTACATCTCTTGCGTAATTCTTGTTGTACACCATCGTAAATTTTCGTCATTGATTTTTTCGGATTTCTTATCTCTACCCTTTGGATCGATTTTCACAATCGACGGAAATGCACCACCTCTCTCTGCGCTCCAATACGTTGTCGCCTACCGGCAAGGACAAGATCCGCACAGAGGACGGTCATAGTAAATTTCACACAAAACGTTGTCTCGAACTAAAGAACGTATAAGGTTTTTATAGACAACAACTCGCTTTGGCACACTACGGATGACTTTCACCAGGATTCGTTTTACATGACGCCGTGCGTGACGATAATGGGAAGGTAATATTGTATATGGAGTCTTTGTTACATTAAAGACAATACGTCGTCTCGGTAGTCATATGGGTCATCGTAACGATCAACGGTCACCATCAGGATTTTCGATTTATGTAAATCTTTAACGATGAATTTTTGAACCGACACAAAAGATTTTCTTTCCTTGAGGTGGGCTTTCTACAATTTTACCCTCTTGTTCTTCCGAATCTGTACATGTATGGCGTTTAAGTTTACGTTACCGAGTGGCTAGTCATACAAAAATCGTAGCACAACGGTTCATATCGTTATTACGAGAGACTCTGTCTTATTGGTAAATAGAAGAGTGGCACACAAACCTTCGTTTTTCACTTGTCCGAAATCTAAGATCAACAACAACACGTTGGGACACAGCGGAACGCGAGTCTTTTGGTTATCCGTAAAACAATCCTCTTAACCTCTTCAACTGAATATCTGACCCCTACGAAAACCTCCCTACTACTGTTTGTCGTCTAGACCCCCTCCACCACGCTGTCCAGCACCAGCCACACGATGTTGTTCTGCTTGGTCTTGAAGGACACGTTGTAGGGCACCATGATGGCCGTGTAGAAGGTGAGGATGAGGATGACCCAGTCCCAGGTGGTCTTGAAGGTGCAGTAGTGGAGGATGATGTGGGGGGGCGTCTTGGGGGCTTCCTGCTTGTACTGCGGGAGGATGTCCGAGTTGAGCTGTAAAACCTGGAGAAAGAGAAGTCAAAGTTTACACATAAATCTTTATTAGGTACATTTCTACCCTGAAACTTCATTTAAAAAGTACCATTTAATTTATACTAATTAAAACAGTACAGCTGCTAAGTCAGTTCCATCATTACAGTGAACTTTAAAAAGACTCCCCTCTGTGTAACTGTTTAATACTGCCAACTTTTAAATCTAACTCTCTAACTTACTTTCTTCAAAAACGTTTGATATATTTGTTTAATGTTTGATCTCTTGATTGTGATTTTTTTTTTTAGATATAATCTTGGTTTCCTTTTTAAATAAATTCTACACAATCAATTATTTTTTTAATAGAAATGTTAACATTTTCTACACAGATGTACCTTTCTATACATCTTATGACACTCTAACATAGTAATATTATAATTAATAACTTAATGCTCAGTTGAATGATAATGTATAGGATTAAAGCCAGAAACCTGTGCATTCATTTGATTTAATTGTGTTTTTCTTCTGTGTATTATATTTTATTTTAGAATGTATGTGTATATAAAGAATTACTAAACAACAGTATATATGTATTATATTATTAAACATGTTTTCTATAACAGGTAAAACAATTAAACTCAAAAAAGGAAGAAAAAAGGAAATTAAAATTGCTTTTGAAGACAGAACTTCTCAAGTTATGTCTCACTCCTTCTAGACTTAGGAAATTAAAACGTTATCTATTTGATATTTTTCATTCATTATTATTTCTGGGCCAGTTTTGAGCGCAAAGCCGTCTTTCCTGATTAGTCCACATACACTGAGAAAAGTTGTATTTATTCAAATGTGCCTCGGTACTGTTCTGTTTTGCCATGTTTATACACTATCTGATTTGGAAAAGCAACAGAGCACAGATGAAAAAGTGATTATGTGAAGGAGGGAAGTTTTACATTCAATCTTGTGAAATAGATTGTGAAGGAAAAAGTAAGCCTGTACTTATTAGTGTAAGGGAAACTTCTGCAGCAATGTAGAGTCAGGACTCAGAGAGACACGAGGAGAGTTGGAGCTTTGATGTCAAACACTGGTGGTTTATTACAAGTATCGGCCAGAGAATTTCACATCACAAGTCACAGCAGCCAGAGGTTCTGACTGCACGGGTGGGTTGCCACATCAATTCTGACCAGCCTCTCTCTCGATAGACCTTTTAACTAGTTTACAGAGAGTTAATCAACATATTGGGGGAGATAATCTAAACAGCTGGGCCCACTGAATCACTTGCGTCTGACCCTTAATGGCCTCGAAGCCAGCGTTCTCACTCATAAACCATTTTGTGACCGAGAGTTGACCGGTCATAAACTGAGAAATATCAACATATGACTGCATTAGCACATTCCGTACGGGAGATAACAGAGCCAGGGTTGGTCATAAACGTCAACAGGCAAAAGGTTAAATATCTAGGAGTAAAGACAAAATTATTCCCTCACAATTAGTTTTAAAGTGTATTCATAATTACCCACTTCTAGGTGAGTAGAGGGAGAAGTGGAAATATTGCAAGAAAAATATATTGCATTTGTTTTTCCTCTCCACNCTGTGGAAGCTCAAACACTCTCCGTCACACATTCACCTTCTCTGATCTTTGTTATTATGATCAATATTCAACCATTAGCAAAAACAGAAAAATATAATTTAAATGTATTTGTTCACGGGAAACTTCGACAAATTATGAATATTGAAAAAATATGTATATATAATTATAATAATGTTATTATAATTATAATAATGTTATTATATACAGTTATTGAACTGACCTGAGAGTCTCCAGTCTGCAGTCTGGACTCTCCAGAAGATCTCTCAGCAGCTCCACTCCTGAATCCTTCAGATCGTTGAGACTCAGGTCCAGATCTCTCAGATGGATGTTGGACTTCAGAGCTGAGGCCAGAGAATAACAGCTCATCTCTGACAAACTGCAGCTCCTCAGTCTGAATAAAGAAAACATGTTCCTGTTTGAAATAACTCCAGGTTTAATAATCTGTTCAGAGCTGAAGAAGGTTAGAAAGTGGAAACTCCAGCCAGACCAATAAAACCCACAGAAACTGATTCAACTCAAGATCACAACGTTTACAAAGATCACAAATATTTCAGGAGGAATTTTGAAGAAATGTGAAGAAAAACATCCAGAATATTTATTTTAGGAACAGTGGAGTCATCAAATCACAGCATCTTCAGTTTGCAGGGTTCCTGCAGGTTTCACCAACTCAAATTTAACACTTTTAAAGACATTTTTAACACCAATTGGAATAGAATTTAAGACCTATTATTCACGTTCAACATAAGAACGATGACTGAACATAACAGCATAACAGTACACAGAACTGTGTTAGCTTGTTAGACGAAAACCAGAAAAAAGAAATGCCTAACCGTGAAAGTGTGTGTGTGTATGTCTCTGTGTATGTATGTGTGACAAAAGCTATCTTCTGAGCTCCGCTGCCTTGGCTACAATCTTTCATCGTTGCTGTTGTAGGATTGGTGTTTCGCTCCGGTATTTAGTGTTGATAGCACCTCCGCTCAGAGGCGCGGGAAGGTATTTTGAGTGGGGGTGCTGAGGTGCTGGACTCCAGTGNAAAAATATCTAATTACAGTAATTATATTTAGGGCCGGGACTTTAACGCGTTAATTAAGATTAATTAATTACACAAAAATTAACGCATTTTAATCGCACTAAGTGCGATTAAAATGCGTTAATTTTTGTGTAATTAATTAATCTTAATTAACGCGTTAAAGTCCCGGCCCTAAATATAATTACTGTAATTAGATATTTTTCTCTGTTTTCAACATTTGTAGAATTTTCCCGGGATAAAATACATTGAAATCATTTCCTTCTGTATCTGCTAATGGATGAATATTGATCATAATAACAAAGATCAGAGAAGGTGAATGTGTGACGGAGAGTGTTTGAGCTTCCACAGACTCAGTCTGTGCTCCATGAGTCAGTGGAGATGCTGTCAGTACTGATGAGCTCTGAGGGAGAAGAAGGAGTTGTTAAACATCTGATGAGAGAAACTGCTGCAGAGAGTTTGAGATCATCAGGGATTTGTTTCTACTTCGTTGCTAAAGCTTCTTCAGATTATTAAACCTGGAGTTATTTCAAACAGGAACATTGTTTTCTAAAGTTACATCATGTTTTCTTTATTCAGTCTGAGGAGCTGCAGCTTGTCAGAGATCAGCTGTTCTGCTCTGGCCTCAGCTCTGAAGTCCAACATCCATCTGAGAGATCTGGACCTGAGTGAGAACTATCTGCAGGATTCAGGAGTGAAGCTGCTGAGTGATCTTCTGGAGAGTCCAGACTGCAGACTGGAGACTCTCAGGTCAGTTCTCCATCTTTTACTTCTGTGCTGAGATGAAGAGAGTTGTGTTGACTCTGAGCTGCAGACATCAGGCTGATATCACACTGATCCTCACTGAGCATCTTAATGCTGACTATCCTACCCTGCATAATGCACTCATCTCAAACACCTGAAACTCACCTTATATTCTGAAGCACGCTTTAAATAAATGATACACAAAATACAACAAGAACATATTTCTATTAAAACTCCTAAACATCTAATATGTTTGTATTATTATTATTGTTTTATTAGTCAATTTATTGAACATGTTTAAAAAAAAAACAGAAAATGAATAATAATAAAAAGAAGCAAAATAACAAAATACTTTTCAAAGTATAAAAATAAATGCTCAAGTACCGTAATTTTCGGACTATAAGCCGCGACTTTTCCCCCATTTTTCGACGCTGCGGCTT